GAGGAAGAGAAGAGAGAAGAGAGAAGAGAGAGAGAGAGAGAGAGAGAGAAAAGGTCTGCTCAATTTTCACAACATCTTTCATCTTTCTTCTCTACCTCTTCTGTACGATTTTATTACAGCGATCTTTTTTTAAATCCACCCAAAATTTCCTCTTAGTCCACAGCAATGGTCCTAAAACGAATGGACTATTAATATCTCTTTCATCTCATGCAATAACATCAATGTCGCATGACAATTACTTCATTTGATACACTCCTATATTCCCTTTCTCATCTTGTGGAAACTTCAAAAGCCTTACATTAGTAGGTTTAAAAATTGAAATTAGGATGAAAATTAATTATGATATCTACCCTCCCTTCTTTTCTTCCCTATTCATCCAATCCGTCCTAATTCAGTTTTTGTCAATTTCTTGTTTGCTTAGGAGTTTTTTGTTCGCAATCTTTTGGTCAAATTATTCGATGAATTAAGCATATAAGCTAGGGATTTATTATGCTTTTTTCAGGATTAATGTGTTTTACTCATGAATTTGCCTATCCACAAATGAATCTATGGCAGATTTTATTCTCATTTAGGACTTTTCTAGATCTCTTTATTCCGGTAGTTCCACTTTGAGTTCAATAGTGTGCAAGACCGTTCGTGTTCAATTTAATATTCTTGATTTGTTTACGAATTGTTATTTTGTGCACCGTTTGAATGATGGATTGCTTGAGAATGTTAGTTCAACTGCAATTCATTCAACAATAAATAGTGTAATAACATTTTCTGCTTTTCTTATTTCTCTTGGAACTTTAAGGTTTTTTTTTTCTCGTTCTCCATTAAAAACCACCACTGTTCGGGTTGTTCACTAGAAATCGTTTTACTCAGTGATATTCCAAGAGTGATTTTCCTGGGAAAGATTTTTCCATTGCTGATTAATAAAACCACTTGTGATGAATTATTATGGGAAATCTTTTCTTGCTCAAATTAGATTAATTCCGCCGACACAATAAAACTCAGAATTTCTACTTCACTCGGGAAACACCCTAAATGGGAGAGGAATGATTGCGACAAGAATGATTGCTTGTTCTGATCAATTTTCATCTAAACGTCTCTTCAATGCACTTTTTTTTCTTAGTGAAATGAATTTGGCAAATCTTAAAATTTCAATAGCAAATCTTAAAATTTCAAAGATGATAAATTTCAATGAAAAAAGAGATATCGCTTATATCGTCCCAAACTCCTCCAATCTATTATGCCATTGCTTATTTTACCTTTGTAATATCCATAAACATTCAAAAGTATACATAAGCAAAATTAGTTTTCTGCCATCAATTGCAAATCTATATAGCGCTAGAAACTGTTTTGTATAAATGATTCGCAAAATTCATTTATAGAAGCTTTTTAGTGAACAACGCACAGTTGGAACACTGATACAGTGATTGTATTATTGGTTAATTAGTGAATGAATTCATGTGAGACATGGTGGTTCAGCGGGACTTGATTTCATTGAGTATCCTAAATGACTTCTGAATCCAAATAACCCATTTTGACTTACAAATTACTACTTGATTCCGGAAAAATTTACAACTCCAGTAAGCTATAAACATTCGTACGAAAGATTCAAAAGTGTTTCCGTCTGAGTGGACTAAATTAAAATCAAACTTTTGCTTTCCGATTATGACCTCTACTTAGGATTAATGATCTGTTCCTATATTTATAGGATTAACAGCAAGGCTGCTTAGTCGCTCTCTAAGTAAGCTAAGCTTAATATCTGTACAAACATTAACCCAACAATTATACGACCGAATCAACGACAGTATTGCTTCTCTTGTACATATTCAATATTTCGAAAGGAGACGACACGTTGATCCCAGTGAAAAAGCTATTGATGCGCCTGTGAAAGTCTTTTGCGGTCGGAACATTCAAACGAGGTTTCAGTATTACATTTCTTTCTTCAATAAACTTCCACATTGCGTTGAAAAAGAGTATAAGGCACATAGTAAAGCATTAAAATGCAAAAATTCATTAACTAAAACAAATATTCAGCGTGTACAAATTCAAAAATTACATATTTAAGATAATCGAAATTCTAGAAAAATTGGTCGTAGCTCACTCAGGAAAAGTGTTTGGCCAGTGCCGTGGCTGAAAGCAATTTTTTTACCGGAGTTCCTGAATAATTCACGTATTACAGAAAAAGATTTTTCGGTAAGCTACTATTAATTTCAGTAATTACAGTGAATTAATGGGAGTAAAGATTAATTCTCCAATTTTCGTGGCATCGTTTTAGATGCGATACATTGTAAAACGCATCACGGATCATTTGTAACCCACGTTTTGTACTTTCTACATGTTTTAATCTACGACCACAATCTCGATCCTCAGTGAGCTCGACTAGAAAATTGCTTGCTTAATGAGCTTATGTTCTAAACTTGCAGTCAACTGAAACTCTTTCATTACAGATACTGAACTGCATTGGGAAGGGTACATTCAGTAAAGTGTATAGAGTATGCTTGAAACTTGATCGGAATTTTTTATTTGCTATGAAAAAGCAGTCAAAAAGCATAATTTTGGCGATAAACGCCATTCAACAAGTTAAAGAAGAAGCTTCAATACATGTTAGTTCAACCTACTTCAATACTATTCATTCAATGTACTCGCTTTTCCGTCTTTTGTCATATGCTAGTTTTCACTGACCAGATGACGAATATGATTTGATATTCTCCAACTTCTTAAAGACGACTCACAACGCATTTTTGTTTCTTGTACTGATAATCAGACTGTTTTAAAACATTTCAGTATATCTAGGAAAAAAATTTTAAACTTGTATACTTATGCATCTTCCACATCGTAGTTGTAATGATCACTGTAAAAAACTTGATAATTTATTAGAGTTAACATGATTGGATCTATTCAGGTAATCGTGAAAAAAGGTATTTAGATTATTACCAAGATTCTCTCCTGTCTTTCAGTGTTTAATTTAAAATAGATAGAATTAGGATTCAGATGGAATAACAACCTAACAGAACAAAAACTAACAGATGATTAATTACTGTAACAAGGGGAGAAGACACTTTTGATTCAAACCATACATTCTAAAGTTCCTTTTTTTTTTCAGTTTCTTTTGAATTTTAAACAGTTTGTTATTACTACATCTACTAAATAATTTACAACTTCCTATTTGAATCTGATAACGTTCTTTCCACGTCATAATGTTTCATTCTTCAAAAACAAACAAATAATCAAATTATGAGTCATGACGGTAAGTTTCCTTTACCTCTAATGGTGAAAGGAGAGGGTTCAAATCTAAATATTAATTTTCCTGCAGAAAAGTCTCTCGGATAACGTGTTCATTGCAAAATGTTACGCTAGCTGGCAATCGAGGACACATCTCTTCACACTACTTCAATACGCAATGGGTTACGGAAATTTGTTCACGTTGTGGCGTGATTACGGACCCTTCGCGGTAGATACTTTGAGAATATATGGTGCAGAAATTGCTTTTGCTTTAGGTTATTTCATTGTTAACAAACTTTTCTTAAATTTGGGTCGGTCATTAATGTCCAGTCACATTAATACTGAGCTAATTTACAGTAGGAATCGTAGGAATCATCAACCTCATACATCTGTGTCTATCATACGTTATTTGGCTTAAAAAAATTGGGTAAAAATTAAAATTAAAACGGAGTGAATTGTTTATTACAAGTAAATAGGTGGCTAATCTACGGAATCAACTAAAAGGTCGCGTATTCACTACCCAATTTCCTCTTCCTAATCACTTTTGTCTAATTACTTCATCTTTTCAGTAATGTAGTCATTCTTTTATCCACAAGACCATCACATCTATTCGTTATGCTTTCAATATATCTAGAAGTATGCTGAAATGACAAATAATTTTTTCGATATCGTTCTATGCAATGTCTTGGTTTCTAGACTACATTCACAAGAACAATGTAATTTATCGAGATTTAAAAATGGAAAATATCGTGCTTGATCTTGATGGCCATATTCAGATTGTTGATTTCGGTTTCTCAAAAAAACTTGCTGATGGAGAACGAACACGAACAGTATGCGGAACACTTCAGGTCTGATTAATTTTAGTAATGTTACGATGTGATGTAATAAAGTAAATTTGATGAACAGCTCGTACAATTTTTCGACATTCTGCTTCAGTTCATTGATTTTTAAGAGAAGAAAGGATTGAGTAGCTGCCATATCTTTGTAAACTGTACCGATTCAAATCACTCGAACTTCTTTAATTCCCAATTACAGTATATGGCTCCTGAAATAGCCAGAGAGAAATTTTATGGCAGAGAGGTGGATTGGTGGTCTTACGGAGTGCTGCTTCATATTCTTAATACAAATAGTTATCCATTTCCAAATTGTGATGTCATTTCACATATTGAACTTAGGTAACCATTTTACGACAAACCTTGAAAACTATTGCTCCGTTCATTTTGAATAAATTCCACTCGGATTTCCAAGTTCTCTAGCTGATTCAAGTTAATCTGCTCAAATATCATGTCATTACAGATATGATAGTTACAATACTCCCTGCTGTGAACCAATGCTAAGCGACCTTTTCAGTAAGGTGACATTTAATTTATTCCATAGTATATCCAGTATTCTAAAATGTTGGTATTAATTTATGCAATTAACTACAGTTTACAGCTACTAAGTGTAAACATGGAACGAAGGATATATACATTTGCTCAAGTGAAATGTCATCCTTTTTTCGAGACCGTTAATTGGGATGATGTTGCATTGAAAAAGGTACACCTTTTTTTAGTTTGAGTTTAGGAACTTCAGCTTGCAAAATTCTGTTTCCCTGCACTGAAGTTGACGCCATCTTTCTTCAACCGTGACAAAAACTGAGGGTTCTTTCCGCTTCTTTAGTTGGTAATACCTCAAACTTGGGTAATTAAACCTTTATTACGACAAATTTATTAATATAACAACGAACTTGCAATTACGACATCGACACCAAATTAATAACGAAAACCAAAACGAAAAGATTAAATCACGCCCGATATCCTCCAACCAACCGACCTGTCAAAACGCTCTTTCGAAATGATTTGGCGCTCAGGGTGGTCCGTTACTCCGAGTGGAAGGGTGCTTGTACCATTTGTGATTACAAGAATTAGTTTCCTCATGGAGTGCACATTACATAGGGTTAAGACGATATGGGCATATACAGCAAAGATGTCTGGCTTTCAACAAAAGGATTATTGTTCCTTTGTTTCCACTCGCCATATCAGCGACAGAAGTGAAGAATGGATTCAGTGGCTTCATCTTAAAGCGTACGGTGAAGCCACTGAGTCTAGTCTTCAGGGCGCAAAAGTTCCATCTTTCAAGACTTCTTCAAAAACTCTATTTTCTTAAAATAGAGGTGAAATTTGATCTCCAACTTGCAGTTTGCTACAACTCATATTAAATAACAATTTTATGCAACGATTACTTAATTATTCACCACATATTTTAATTCGATAAAAAACAACCATGTGTATAATTCCAACTTCTTAAATTGGAATTTCTTTTGATTTCAAATAGGGCAATTTAAACGAAAGATTTTTATGATTATCATTTTCAGTTAGTACCATTTGCCTACATGGAGAAACTGCGACGTTGTCCAAGCTGCAATTCTTTATATGACAAAAGCGCATCGGATTTCAGTAGTACAGATGTGGAGGAGAATTGGGCTGCTTTTGAGGAACGATATGAGGTATTTCCAACAACTACTTAATTTTATAAATTTAAGCTTATTGCTCAGTTTACATCATTTTATTCTTATGTACAATCCATAATATGAATACTTCGATCATCTTTTTCTCAGGAACTTTATATACTAGTTTAAATTTCGCGTCAAACACAGCTGTCAAGTGCTACTGTAGGAATGAAAGATGCTTTTGTTCGTATGTTTTTAATTTGGGGTCACGAAGTTCAAAATATCTCCTGTGTCCAAATATTTCAGTTCAATAATGACGATTACTTTCGTGATCAGATGTAATGACAGAGGTGTCGAAGGTTGTGATCAGCTTGTTCATTGCAAAAAAAAGTGTTTATCCATTGGTTTATGAGTCCATCCCATCTGTTTATTGTTAGACATTGAATTCATAATAAAATACTTCAGCGTGCTATTCTGAAATGGAAGTTTATAAATCATGAGACATGCTTAAAGAGCCAACACATTTCCACTTCATTCATTCTTAAAGGAGCGCACATCGTAGATGTCAAACTGAAAAAGGATCAAGTTTCCAAGTGTGAATGACACAAAGTGTCGTGAAAACGGAATTGTTAATGTCGAGAAACTGAAGAAAGGTTTAAATACGCTAAAATTTGTTGTATAAAGCATTTCCTAGATGAATGATTCATCATATTACACAACAAAAAAACGTTTTCTCATACCTAAAGTAATGAGTCAGTTGTCAAATCTTCAAATCCTCTAAAAATGTTTTTTTTTCTTTTTTTGTCTGATGTTGAGATTTGCGTATATCCGGCAACCAATCTGTAAACATTGGTAAAACAGTTCCAATTAGAAATTGTTTTATCAATTTCCTCTTTGTATAAAACTAACCTTGTAT